TTTCCACGGCGATTTCAGAATATTGTACTCCAATCGTGACAACCCCTTGAAAGTGAAGTAGCATATGGGTGGATGGTTTTGAAGCCCATATTAAGTTTTTTGACCGAGTTTCTAGTCTTCATATAAAGACTTGTTCCAGAAATGTAACATAAAGTAGTTATTTATTTAGTTTGATAAATAAATGATAGATTTTTTTAAAAACACTACATCTGAATTCTTGTATCACGCACGACTTAAGTAAATTGACTAAAGAAATTGAAAGGTAAACGAGCCAAAAAAAGTTTAACTATATATGTCATATACTCTTTATCGACTATTTTGTCAGTTTAACAAGAGTGTTTTACTTTCTCCGCTTTAGAGCTGAATTCATTGGTTAAAATTTCAGAGCCTACTGAAAGCAACCTTATAGCATCCCCGATAGATCGGTCAAGTGGAACTTAAAGGTGCATTTGGTCAAATTACAGCAGATGTTTCAATTTGAATTGGAAACCCTCTGTCAACTGTATTCGGCCATTTTCTGATGGACTATTTTTATCTTGAGTATGTGCCATTTCTTTAAGATGTCTTCTTCTAACATTTAAAGTTGTCGTATCAAGCTTATCCTAAAGTTTTTTTTTGCTATAGAAACTAATTAAATTGTGTTTAGCACTTTTATTTTGTTTCTTGTATTTTGAATCATATCAAAAATATTTGTTATAAATAGAAAAATTCTGGCTGAAGAAGTGGTTAGGAAACCTGGAAAACCAACCACAAAGAAGCAAAAAACGATGCTGTCGTTGTTGCAAGCTCTTAATGTTCACAAATGATGTTCACGTTGTTCTAAGACTACGTAAATCAATAAAACTTTCTGCTAGTCAGCCAGTTTAATATGATTGGAAAGCTGTTGAACAGTGCATCGCTAGATTCCTGTTCGGATAAATCTAAAAGTTGAGAGCTGAATCATGTCAAAATATTTGTTATAAATAAAAAAATTCTGGCTGAAGAAGTGGTTAGGAAACCTGGAAAACCAACCACAAAGAAACAAAAAACAATGCTGTCGTTGTTGCAAGCTCTTAATGTTCACAAATGATGTTCACGTTGTTCTAAGACTACGTAAATCAACAAAACTTTCTGCTGGTCAGCCAGTTTAATATAATTTGAAAGCTGTTGAAAAGTGCATCGCTAGATTCCTGTCCGGATAAATCTAAAAGCTGAGAGCTAGATCGGGTCCCCTCACAAGAAGTGATAGTTTTAAAAGATGTGATTCTAGCCTGTGTGTGGTATTTTACACCAAAAAATAATTAACGATAACAGCGGCAAAAATTATTATTTCTTGTGCTATACCTACCCAAAGTTCCTTACTCCTCGTTCAGATGGAAAGTTAGACCAAAGGAGAAATAAAGAGATATCAATATAATAATGGAAGTAAAGTTTTCGGTCAAGTATGCCAGAATTTCAGGTCTGTGGCCAAATTCTTAATACCAGCTGTCAATATTCGACTGTTTGCGTGATCAAACTATTGAACAGATTGCAGACGAAGAAACGCCCAAACAATTATTGATCGAACTGCACGCAATTTTCATTGGTTGCACATCATAACTCACAGCAAGCTTGTGTTTAACAACAATATTTGTGACAATTATAAGCGTTGCATCCCCCAAACTGCTCTCATCCAACTTTTAATTATTCGGTCGATCTCGGAAAACAGTACATACGAACTTTTACTCTTTCAATATCAAGCAAATAGGCCTGTTAAGATTTTAAAAGCTAGAAGTCTGATAACAAATCCACTTATAAAGATACTTTGATGGTGCGTATTTTTCTTTGATATTTAAAAATCATTTACCAAAGTGGAGGTGAATAGCGATGGTGTTTACAGAGCCGCGAAGTAGGTGGTGGTAAATATTCACCACTTCCACTGATACTGTGGTGAGTATTTTTTTCGTATATACCGCACAGAAACCAAAGAGATTAGTTTATCTCTCTAAATTTGCCAAAAAAATGGTCGGAAATTAAATTATTGACGCGCGATTTTGATTCTACGGCCACACAGAGGTGAATAGTACTTGGTAATCACTTACAAACCACCAATCAGAGCGAAACAAACGAACTATTAACTGTGTAGTTTATACTAATGTTGTAGATATATCTTTTTAATTGCGACGTCTTCGCTATTTTAATTACACAATTTGTAGACTTTTTTCCATCATGGAACACCACAGAAGTACACCTATAGATTACGATTAAATGATGATTCAGTAGAGATATCATTAAAGCAACTTCCATTTTTATGTGGAAGACACGAAAAAAATTACTAACACAAAAGAGGACTTGGTTGAGAAAAAGAGCGAAGAAACAAACAAAAAAATAACAAAAACATTTTCACTTTGTTTTGGACCAAGTTAGATAATGAACTGAATTTTATAATTATAGTAGGCGGTGACGTATACGATAAGATTTTAAGTTATTACTTAACTTTTCCGGTTTTTAAAGATGCCATGATTTAAAAGGAAGTCCATTCGTGAATCGCGTCTCTCAGGGACCGGTTATTATTATCGATTGGGAGAAGGGAAGGTGGGGGGGGGGGGGGGGAAAGGGGGGTTTGAAGGATTTTGGTTTTTTCAAAATGAAATTTACCTGATCCTCATGTAAAGCTCTCTAGAATTCTAACGCTCCTCCCCCCTCCCCCCCCCCCATCCCCTCTTCGCTCACTCTGAGAATCATGTGATCCAGCAAAATCCTCCAAAACTGGACTACCAGGCCTTGATATCGCGACCGTTATTAGGAGAGGTTACCAGTCGCATGATGCTAAAATACGGCGAGTGAAATACTGCAGCCAGAACCCAAGTTGAAGTTACCTTAAGACGACGTGTTTGCTTGGAGATACTCCGATACGATGAGGATAAGCAACTGCTAAAAGCGCTCACTGGTGATTAATTTATACCAAGCTTAAGGTCTAAACTGACGGCGATATATCGTCCAGGAAACTGCACATCTTGCGGAGGAAGCTTGCGAACACTCCATCGACGAAGAAGGCGTAACACACCGTGACTTCCGTTGTAACGAGATGGGGAATTTCAATAACTGTTACAAGTAGGTCGGATGCAGCCCTGTTAGCTATGAGAAGCATACGTTTTTCTTTCATTCTCACGTATGCGGTTATAAGAAGGAAATTTCCTATAGGCAATGCTAAGAGAGTGAGGATGAGTATCGCTATGGTAACTTCAATCGGAACTACCCTGATGATACACATTTCAGATGAAGGGTGTCGTTGCTGTTTCCGATTTTCTCACCGTCAAGAATGGACGTGTTTCGTCTTGAAGCCATCATTTCGGCGATGAGGAAATAAGAACTGGCGCTTGTTATCTCTGATCTGATCTCACATACGGTTAACTGCGCTTTTTTAACATCGCAACGCAATTAAATTTGCGTAAGTGCCCTTAAATTCATGGAGTGACGTTGTGCTAAGAGCTTGAAAATTTGTGTCTGTGTGATTTAGTTATTTTCGAGGAACTGAACCCATAATTCTTTTCAAGAAAATTTATTGTATGTTTTCGCCAACCGTTTCTCCTTTGTAAAAAGGTTTCTTTCAATGGTTATACATTCCCTTGAAATTAAATTAATTTTTCCGTTCGGCAAGGACGTAATTAAACACTGTCACTTTCTGTTAGGAATGAGATGATAGCTGGTAGTCACAGCTGCCACCTTTTGTATGTAGGGCAAATATTTTAATTGTTGTTGTAAGGCTTATTTTGATAACAATACATTCATGAATCTGTGGAGAGCAGGAGGACAAAACTCCTTTAAACGATTGTAACAAAAAGATGCAAGTGAATGGAATCGTTGTAAGATGCCGGGGTTGTGAGGATCCAGAGTAGGAAGTTCTTAGTCTACATTGTTGCAAATGGAAACGCACAATGCAATCATTACGAACGTTTTTGAAGTCTCCCCCGCTTCATTTGAAACCTACTGGATCTTTTATTCTTCTTTCAAAACTTTTCTCTTTTTCTTGCAAAATTGGATCTCACTCTCTGTACATAGTAGACGTACCACTTGTAATTTATTCAATAAAATGTATGCCAAAATTAGTATCGGCCAGCTGTTACTCTAGGTGACCAATTTAACCTTGAAAGGAAACGATGTTTGCGCTAGAAAAGAGCTAAGAAGAATCAGAAAAATGGAAATTTCAAGGAAAAATGATAAGGTGTTACCTCAAAAAGTTTATATGAATTGGGCGATTTTAACTGACAGAATAATTTTTAAGAAATAGGATTTTTATACCTTGAAAGAAAGCTAGGAAAACATAACCCTAACCCTAAGCAATGTGATTTGATTGACACGTCTCATGGAAGTTGAGTACAAATCTATAAGCAACACGTTACTTAGGGAATAATAAGGTTACTTTATGCTAGCTCAAGTATAAATGCGTCATTTCATTAGAACGCTAATTTATCAGCTCCATTTAAACTAGCAATAAAGGAAATAGTTTCTGCTTGGCGATGTTAAAAAGCCATAGGTAATTGTTTTCCAAGGGTGATATCACTCATTAGAATTGGGTGGATCTTTCACTTTTAGCTCCTAGAGTTGCTCTATGTTCCATTTTCGAGCATTAAGTTTAATATGTTATCGAAAAGATCAACAGGCTTAGTTTTCCATTTTCGTTTCCTTACGTCACCTTTCTTCATTAATAGAAAAAATTCTATTTTAACTCTTGAAATCATCAGCATTGGTGGTAGAACTAATTTTTGCTTAGTTTTTTTCTTCGTTATTTTTCGTTTCTTTGATATAAAACTGAACTATACGTTATAGTATAGCAACTTTCCAGTTGTCAACTTTATTACTTTCTAGAACATTGCATACTCACCTTGATTTCTTTGGAAGCATACGTGTATTGATCGTACGTGTGTGGTTTTGCATAACGATAGATGTTACTGATATGAAGATTGCGTTAATTCAAATAGCGAGCTTGGTTTAATAGATAATATGTAACTATCATAGCCTCGATATATCAGCCACCAATATCATTGTCTTTTGACTAAAAAGCTCTGATTTTCTTCCTCCTCTTACACCCTTTGATTCTTTGAGCACTTCGGAGAAAAATTGAAAAAGAAGAATTGACGGCAAGCGAAGGCAAGGACGATCACGAAGAGGATGGATGGATGGATGATATCAGGAGTTGGTCACAACATTTCACTCGACAGAACAATACGGAGAAAGCTCACGGATACATCCGTAGTCCCCTACCTTCGGTCATGAGTATGGCAACAGCCAAGCCAGGAAAATCCCTAGTAAGTTTTTTTTGAGAAAGATATTCAGCGGGATTAGTCATTTGCATGCTTTGTTTTATTTCAGCTCATAATTTGCAACTTCGGCTTAAGAATTAGAAAAGACAAGATATTCTAGTTTTACGTCGACATCAACCACTCCTACTTGACAACAACTGTTTTCGAATAGATTCGAATTGAAAGTGGTTTATGAAAATGATCATAAATGTAAGTTGTTGAAGGAATGTTGATACAGAATTGAAAGTGCTTCACATGCAAGTAAAAAACAGACATTTCCTCTAATCTGAACACCAGCTCTACATTCATTTCCAATTGGCAGACCCGCTAATTAAAACATTTTCTTTTGAGGAGAGAAAGTTCAAGTCTCAAGAACCGAAAATTAGCCATGGCCACAAAAATAGAGTACTAATGGGCATTCAATGAATGGTTTTTCTGGCGGAAACATTTAGTTTTTTGCATTCATTAGGCCTTTTAACTTCAAACAAAGGTTCTGCTGACAACGATCAACTAGAATCAACCAATAACAATTTCTACGCTTGTATCTCATATGGCTCTAGACTTGTGACTGAGAATTTTATCGAAATGCAATCACGCCATCGGAGAGAAGAAAGAATCTCAGAATATGAGTTACCTCATTGGGCTGACAAAGACCAACGCGCTTGCAAACATTGGATTTTGGCTTACTGGTCGAATGAAATTAAATTAACTTTCTGAAACTTAAAAGTTTAGGTGCTTGTGGGTATAAAATGGTCCAATGTGTCCAAAGTCACAATGCATTATCAGGCATCAAATGAAACGACACGTCAAAAGATTGCGATTGATAATATTTTTCATGTTAATTTTACGTTAAGTTGGCGATATATACCGGAATCGAAGGAAACGAGGAGGGGGTAGGGGTGGGGTTGGGCTTTTCCCCCAAAATTTTTACTTGTGGGGGGAGAGGGGGGGGGCACTGATTCCCCCTGTTCCCATTCCCCTTCTCCGTCGCCTATGGAGAAGGCTGAGGCTGTATTGAGACAAAATATTGATCCTTCTTGAGTATGGTGACGTGAGGATGCCTTCACAACATCAGCCGTCATCACAGCTATTCCCGAGGACTTGTTTACAGCTTTTATCAAAACAGCGAAAGAGCGAACGATTTTGAAAACAAATGATGTCGATAGCGAATAAACTATATGGCTAAACCTTTGCATCGCATAGCTTCGTTTTCCAAAGATTTAGCAACTTTAGATTCCAGTATCACTTACACAAAAACGGCATCAATTTTTCGGGTAGAATTTCTGCAGCCTTTATTTATATTTGTTAACATGGGTTAACATGGACTGAAAGTTCCTTTCTAAGTTCAATGTTTATACTTATGCGGGTATCAGCGGCCATCCCGAGGGGTCGACCCCCGGGCACCCAGGGGCATTTGTCACAGCTGCCGTGACAAATACATGCTAAAGCCCCTCGGGTAGGGCAAAAAATTGGGACAAATACGCCCACCCCTGGAGCAACCTGGGCAACATATAGTCGGTGTTGCCTATTCCTCGATGCAAAAGTACGAGTGATCATGGTTTACTGAAGCCACATCAGCACTAAAATCCACACAAGTCTCTATGGAGTCCTCAAATTCGAGCTTTCTGGGGCAAACTTTCTTGGCTTGCGGTTGTTCATCACACTGTCTCTTCCTATCGGCAAGACGCTTCGAATGCGAACTAACCGTATGAAATTGAAATCTCGATGTCGCTTTCCTTAAAATGCAATGAACAGATTCTTGGATCGCCGAGTGTCTTGAATTTTTTATCCGCTCGCTTAATTTGTAAGAAGATAAACGTTTTTGAAGTGTCAGTCCTTAATAGCTTTTATACAAATTCTATCCTCATTCCTTTGTTCTGTCTTCCGACAATGGATGGCTCATTATTTATATCTAATTTGAATGATAATGGTATGACTTACCTCGAGGGCTGAACGTTGAGACAGCAGATTACGTGCAAATCCCGTGGGTATGGCCCCGGGGTATTTTGCCAAAAACGCAAAAGCGCTCTAATGCCCCGCGTGCGGGGCATGCCTTTGCTACAAATCCCCTGCTAAGCCCGTGGGTTGCCCTTGGGTTGCCCGGGGGTCGACCCCTCGGGATGGCCGCTGATACCCGCATTAAGCACTTATTCACTCAAGCTCTAATAGATTACTATTTTCGGAATTTTGACGATCGGTATTTATTTATTGGAGAGCACGCATTTATTTTTACTATGATACTGGAAATTATTTTAATCATCTGTTATCGTTATATTTTCCACCTTAGTTTTCGGTGCCGTTTTACCATAAGATGTTGTTTTCGTCGTTTTCTTTCGCCAGCTGTTAATTGAAGAATCCCGCCGATTTTAAGAGCTTTAAGTATTGATGTCTCGGGTACGTTTACCATTTGGATCCGAATCAGCAACTTTATCACGAAAATAGAACATAGGTATTTTTCTACGATAAACAAAATTCAAAGTTAAATTAAAACAGTAGCAGATCGACATGATGTCTGTGAAGGTGACATCCAGCAGGAAGGCGAAAGATATGAAATTTATACTTTAGGGAGATGATTATTATTGTTTACTGTTTCATCTTTTAGTTCATCTTCATTTGCATAAGTGCAAAAAGGGCTCACAGACCGTTTACCAATACTCACGGCGCGACGAAACGACTCCTAAATTGAAATATTGAAAGCATACTCGAAAAGCTTACAAGCCAGGAGCGGAAAGGCTATACTGATTTACGAGCTTTTTGAGTGTTCTTGTAGTATTACATATGGTATAAAGATAAAAATGGAATCTACACTGCTTACACTTAAATCCATAATCTACCATTTTACGCGAAATTTATTTGTTTAAGCACTAAGGAGCCGTTCTTAAAGTTCGTGACAAAAGCTGCTGCGTTCAAGAAGGACCAAGCTTGATTCTGGATATACCTTTAAATGTAACTGAGAGCCACTTTCAGTAACAGGACAAAAAGCATTTAGTTTCGTTTCGTTGTGTATTAGTCCATGCCAAAATTCGTTTTATAGTCAGGGTAAGAGGCAAGTTAAAATTTTTAACTCAGTCCAATATTAAACGTAAAAGCAAGAATTTTCCTTACGCTAAATCTTATTATCCTTTAATCACACGTGGGTAAAATTACGAGAAGCATGGATTGGGTGTTAATTTCTTTTATTGGTGCGTTAGTTAGTATCATTAACGGTTAGCTGGGAAAAACTCAGCTTTGGAAATAAAACCTGCTGTACAAAGTGCCTGATGAGGTTTTCTCAGTTCACTTGAGCCAAGCATTTGATCCAATAATTGGAAATCAAAGCAAAACACGAATACATTTGATATAAACATTATGAAACCAAAAAGATAGAGAGCAGTGTTTCACCAATAGAAATCCGTCAGACGTCCTTACTATCTCGTAAATTGATTTTGTTAAGGTCACAAAGTAAAGCGAAAATTTTCGTTTATCAACAGCGCCCAGTTGTATAAAGGGTGGATAAGGCTATCCAACAGATAAATCGCTATCCAGCGGATAGGTGATTACAAATCCGTCTCTATACCGCCGTATAGAGTTTTATCTGTTGGGTAGCGTTATCCAACCTTCAAACAACCTTCAAACAACCAGGCCTAGAAGGTGTAGCGGGAAAAATGAGTGTTTTAGGGCAAGAAAGGATGAGGATTAATTGAGGCGACTGAAGTAAATTCTCTCCATTATATCTTTAGAGCATGACAATATCACGTTCGACCTGGTAAATCAAGGTCAAGAAATTAAAGGAATGAACGAAGCCAGGATTTGGCTCTCTATATCGATGTTTTTATGTAGCAACGCAAAGTGCCAATATTTCAACACTGCTATGTTACGGAACTCAGGTTATCTTATCTTTTGTACAATAGAAAAATGAAATAGCTTACTGGGCAAAAAAATAGCACACTTGGAAAAAATAACCAGAAATTAGAGGAAAAAAGACATAAAGGAAAACGTGTTATTGAGGAAAGAGATATAAATTAAAGGAAACTATGTGTGGAATATTATGTAACAGAACGGACCAATGGACTTATCAATTATCAACAGGAAATGTGCGGCTTGTTCTTGGCGAACCCTGGTGAAGCCGGAGTTAACTCTTTAACTCCTCAGTATGCATATTCTCCATACTGTTCTCTATACATTTCTTAATGTGCTGGCAAGGAGAATTTGTTCAACAATCAAGAGTTTCTCCAGTTGATTATCATTTCCTTTGTTCTCGCAACTTTAATGTTTGATTCAGAGGTGATATTGAAGGATAAATTAAATACTTGTCACCCTCAGGGATTAAAGAGTTAATGCACTTTCTTCATTGTCAACTTTTCATGCACATTAAAAAAAAAGGGTTTAAATTAGTAGATGGGTGCTGGCGATAATACCTCACAAGCATACATAATTTGTAATGAACAGATATTTTGATTTCACATCTTGTTCAGCTTAAATATTCAATTCCTTTTTAAAGAATTTTGTGTACTTTCAAACTTCTGTCTCATACCCGAAAGCCAGCAAGGGAACATATATAAGTTAGAAATAAATTGAATGCGTTGATTATTCTCATCTCCGAGATCAAAATCGACATTTACAACTTTATGAAATACCTGTCACTAACGTTAAAATGTGTTTCTTACTGTAATAAATTGTGGAGACACATATTGTTTAAAAAAGGCCGCTAATTTCAATTTATTGCTGATATGAAGTGACAGTTTTTCCTCTACTTCCAGGCCAAGAGCATTTCGTAATTAATTTTTTGTCTCACGAGCAAGGATTGTGCTTTAAAACATGAATTTAAAGGGGGTTCAAATTTCAAAGAACTAGCGCATGTCAAATAGCATTCGTCACTTTCATTAACAGTAGGCAACAACTGGTAGAGGAAAATTATTTGAAGTGCCCACAAAAGGGAAGGCTGTGTTCAGTAAAAAAATGTTGTCAAAAACAAGAAAAAGGGCCGGGTTGTAATGGAACAAGGCCAAATATTTTCTTATTTTCGCGAGGAATTAATTGGAATTTAATTGAATGATTAAAAAAACAAAATTATTGATGCGGAAGCCTCTGAGGAAAGCCGGACTTCCGTTCCTTTGAAGATTGGCGAGCTTTAAGCAATTTGCAAAAGTTTGGGATTTTTTTTTAAAACCTGGGTTGCACTTAGTTTAAGCTACATGTTGACAGATTTATGACGTATACAAACAAAATAAGCTGTAGTGGGGAGGAAGATTGCAATTAACTTCCAAAGTAAAGTTTTGACAATTAATTTTCTACTGTAACAAAACAAAACCTTCCAATTTTTTTTTTGTACTTATTACATTGACCCTAAAACGAATATAATTGCACCCACAGACCTCCGCGACGAGCGATAACTCGTCCACACCAGCTGGTGTAGCAGTTGTATATAACTCTTGTTTATAGCAGATTCCCTTGGTTGAAATATCATGGCGGTATTTGAAAATGTCTCGCTCCAAGGCAATGGCGAAACAACTGCAAGCAGCAATAGTACTCCTTCTCAAGAAGAGTGCTTTGGTCTTCCAACACAAGTTAATATCGCGTTACACGTTTTCACGCTCTTTGCATCCTTGATGGGAAATTCCCTTCTAATCACTGCTTTTGTTAGAATGAAAGAAAAAGTCATCCTAGTGATCGCTAACATGGCTGCATCAGACCTTCTGGTAGTAATCTTTCTACTTCCTCGCTTCATTGTAGCGGAGGCGCTCAGGTCTAATGTTTTTCTTATCCACGGAGGAGGGGGCACATTTTTGTGCAAGGTGTGCAGCTTCTTCAGCGACATGTCGTTGTCGGTGTCAACTCTAAGTTTGGTCGTGATCGCGGTTGAGCGCTTTCTAGCTGTGGTGTATCCTCTTCTGTATATGAAAACCTCTGGCAAGAGACGTCGTCTTCTCGTAGCTTCAACTTGGATCTTGGCCGCAGCATTTCACTTGCCGTACTTTTACACTTTTCGACTGGTGAGAGAAGTCGATAATCAAGGTTATGACTATCATGTCTGTCAATCAAGCTGGGAACCAGCTTTCAATGACCAGTCTGCGCGTCGTCGCTACAACATCTTTCTCTATACAACCGTTTTGATTATACCATTGCTCGTTATTTCTGTTTTGCACATTACTGTCGCTTTTCATCTTCGAAAGGACAAAATGAGTTCATGTCGAAACGAGAACGGAACAAAACGGATTCGAAAACGCACCCGGAGCCTACTCATGATGGCCATTTCTACTGTTACAGCATTTCTGATCTGTTGGACGCTCCAAATCGCTACAACTTTCGTCTCCCTCTTTTCACCCGGGTTGTTTCGAAAGTGCAGCAAAATGCACACGGTCGTGTCTTCTCTCTCGCACATTTTGGCAAGTTGCTATTGCGCAATCAATCCCTGGATATGCCTCTTCTTAATTCCAAGGCTTTTTCGCGAATTGAAAATTATGGTGCATAGAAGAACATTTCGGCAGTATGCAATGAAGGGCCAAAAAATGGGGTCTGAGACCGAAAGTAGTAATGTCCGGCTTCGATTTGAGAGTCGCACGTGTTCATTCACACCCAATGGCGATAATCACGAAAAATCGACCGAAAGAAGTTACTGATGACTCGATGCTTATGCAGTCTCTCGTCGCCTCTCTTCAGTGCACAATGTCATGTACATGAAAATTTTGTCAGGACTCCTATTTTAAGGATTTCAGCTTGATGAATGAAAACTTTCACTCCAGTAAGGATGTCCAAAGCCAATATTTCCGTGATACATTTATTTTTTTTGTCTAGTATTTGTCACCATCGATGTCAAAGATTGCTAACAAAATATAAATTACATTTTATGTGCCTTGATTGATATATTTTATTTTTATAATTTTATGGTTTATCTGTCGTCTATTACTCCTTAAAAAAAATACTCAAATTGCCTTAAATTATTAAGTTTCAGTACCAGTGTCAGTGTATATTGAGAAAAATAAAAAATAGGCGAGTTGATGTAGAATCTTGATGAAATATGGTGAAATACATCTTTCCAAAGCATGTCTTAAATTTTTAAACCATTGGATGTTTGAGTACAAGTTTTTTTCTATAGGGCCCCAACTGATAAGTGAAGGGGCCAGAACGTTTAAATTAGTTTGATCAATTACCACTATTAAGATCGCCCACTGTAACGTGGGAAACAGATTATAAAATGATAAAAAGATCAGATTTTGCTGCTTTTGTTAAAGGGTAGAGTACTTACTCGTGCATATCCAATGGAGTCACGAAGGACTGCACCAATGTCAAAACAAATCAACAGACATATAGAAAGCCAGCGATAACAACAGCAAGAAAGATGACCATGAAAGATTCGGCCATTGATTCACTTGTTTTCCACCAGTGGTTGCGTGATAATCAAAGTTTCATGAGTGGAACTGACGCTAATTTGTTAATATTTTAGAGTATGGTGTCAAATGGAAAAAAGGTTATTCCAGAAAAGTTGTATCTAGTATGAATTATTGTCTTCTTGTAGAGCTAATGTAAAAAAAAAAAAAAGAGAAAAAATTAATAAACGTGGGATAATAAAAGAAAAGAGAAATCACATCGTATTCCTTGAACGTAATCTTTCAGGTGTTTAGGACAAACAGAAAATATCAGCTTTAACCTACTTCTCTTCAGAAATGGTAATTAACGTTAAGAAGGTTTGAGGAAAGACGGATGAAACTTTGAAAACAATTAAGAAAATTGAGGACAGATGTGTAATACTCGTCTGGCCATTTAGAGAATTTCATTCTTTCTGATTCATTATCTGAGCTAAGTAGCTCTTTGTAACTTTACTCAGACGTTCGTAAAATAACTCCTAGCTCAGAAAACCGGATATTCACGACTTTTAATATCAAATTATGGTACAAATGATAAAAGTTTTTTAAATGACAAGAAAGCAACTACCAATCGGAAACGCACATCAACCACGTTTCAAATTGAACAATATGGCAAAACATGGCTGTTTCAAAAGAAAATTGGATTTGACAAGTATAAAAGCTAAAAAAGCAATATTTTTTTTTAAGAGAAAAAAAATTATTATTAACAAGTGCCATTTCGGAGGAGGTGACGGCTTTTAGATCCCCACCATATTAAATAGTGTACATACAATTTAATTGGTTCTTACTTGGGATCTATTGGAGGACAGACAAAAAGATGACGTCATCGTTAAAAACGTCCTGCTTCAGTTAACATATCAAGAAAAATAGATGTCATGTTTCTCTGGGTCTTTACAGTAATAGATCATAATGAGGACGTCAAATTGTGGTGATCCATTTCTAAACAGACGGACAGAAATATGGAGGCTATTTGTTGCCTTTTACTTAGAAAAGTGGGTGGGCAGCCATTGCAGAAAAATAAATAACCTAAAAATTGCGTCTATGGTGGTGGGTTATTAGTTGACTTAAGTAACGATGTTAATTTTAAACAGGAAAATAAATACGAATATTAAAAAAATACAAATTAATGAGAAGAAATGTTTCGAATGTAATCCATCAAACATTTTCGCCAGTGCACAACGGGTTGAGGCAAATCATACGTTGTGACGAGCCTCAAGTAAGACTCACCTGCCTACGAATAACTGAGGGATATTCCCTGATTGATGTTCCCCAATTTTCAAGTTTTCCATCGGATGAGATTCGAGGCTTTTTCCAATTTAGGTTAATAACAAGATGGCAAAGCGTTAAGCTTTTGTTATAGAAATCGAAAACTTTTTGTTAATACTCGTACTAGAAAACTCTCAAAGTCACCAACCTACAAGTGAAACACTTATTAAACAGCAACTGTTCGGTAACATACGATACCATGATGCATTTGCTTTGAAGGAACCTTGGAATATTCAACATCGTAGCCTTAAAGTCGGCGCGAAAATATGTCCTTGTATCAATTTTTGGGTCATGTCCGCAGATGAACAGTAGTTATATGCGCGTTTATCACAAGTTTTCCTCTCGTCTCTCACTGCTCGGTTTTCATACCAGTTGTTCGTTTTAAAATAGCATCAAAAGTCTTTGATGATATTGCGAGGCCGTGCTAGGTGACGTCACAGACTCCAATAGTGATCAGGACCCGAGCAATTTCCTTACCAGGTTGTTCATATTAATGGTTTTATGAGGGTAATCAGATATTTGATTGAATATCTTCGTTAATTTGATACATTGACTGGCCCTGGTTAACGCTTGAAACATCAGCTTTAGAAACTTTTGACTGTGGCTAATTTAAATTATCAACTCAGTGCTAAAACCGAATTATCTTGTTGTCACCCCCGACGACGCAGTACAACGGTTTCTCTGGAAAGGTACACCTTTTATTCAATTGAGCTAGTCTTAATACATAATAAAAGATACGTAAAGTATATGGACATGAGAAACGAAGAACGAATTATTATTAACATGTTACGAAATATCACTTACTGCCACAGACAGCATAAATTTGTAAATCAGTGCATATTTATACAAGCAAGGATTGTTACTTGAATTCTCAGGATTATTGCGTACTAACTAAGGTTCTCTATTGTTACTTCGTACAGACCATTGTTTATGATTTGTCTATTTTCATCTGACTTTCGAAATGATTTGTGATATGTAAATGTAGGAATTTTTGTGCGTTCAAGATTTCGCTATGTATAGTGCTGAGTTTCCTAAAAATAAAGTACTATCCAGTACTGAAATAGTGAAATAGTGAAATATTATCACAATATATCTTGTTCGCAACCAGAGTTGTTCGAGCTCTCCAAATTTCCGGATCTTCTCCGTCCTAGGCAAGTGATAAAGCGTAACTAATCTGTTTTAAATATAATTCAAAAAGTCTGCTCCATAGAGTCACTGAGAAACACCATGAACAACCTGTGTGCATTGCTTGAATACTTCACACAGTAGTTTTCTTTGTATCTGATGATACAATGGAACCCCTCTAAATCGGACACCCTTGGAACTGGAGGAAATGTCCGGTTTAGAGGGGTGTCTGGTGAACTGAGGTTTTACACATAAGGCAATTTTATGCCGCATATTGAATTGTCTGACTGTAAGTACCAGCACACGGTACACGAGTACTAAAATAAATCACGTAAAGGAACAAACAACATGGATCACAAGGAAGCTTTTCAACGTCATTTTATTTAATTTACGAAAAAATTCAGTGTACACAAGGGTAATATGATTGCCACTTTTAAATCATGTAAACATGGAATGTTCTTTCCCAGTCCCCGGTGTTTTCTTCTGTAGGCAGTTCAATGTGAACGTTTTGCAAAATCGACTGATCAACTCTCAACTGTTGAGAAAGAAGCGACAGCGGAGTGTCGTCTTCATCTTCGTAGTCATCTACTTGCTTAGTCATTTACTTGCTCGTCAGTCACAGGAAAGCCAGTGGTTTTGAAACATTTCGTAAGTGTCAATGATGCTGTCTCAGACCATGCCTTGGCTATCCAGTTGATAGCGTCAAGTAAAGTTATTTCTTTACAGAGTTCAGAACGCTTTCAGCCCTTTCGATCTTGCTTAAAAGCGGTCGTAGTAGATGTTTTTTGTATCGTGCATTGAAGGTACAGATAATCCCTCCATCAAGTGGCTGTAAATGCAGACGTTCCATAGTCGTTTCCTTTTCGCTGAAATGGCTCACGATTTGATTTTGAAATACCGCGAATGGAAACAATATTTCCTCGGAGATTGAATGCCATCAGTTCTTTGTGCTGTTGGAAGGAGCAATACTGACTCAAAAATACAGTTAATCCATGTTTTATCCGTCATCTGATATGACCTAATGAATTGTGCATTCCCTTAATCAGGTGGGTTTTACTAGCGTTTTTAGGCTAAACTCTAGAGTTTTATTGATTGACGGCGTTTCCGGATACATTTGGTATTTTGTTTATGGAATGTTTGCTTATCAGTCGTATTCAAGAAACAATGAGTAGAAATATGATGAACAAAGATTAATTCAAACTTAAGCCTTTAAGTCCATCAACAACTTTACAAACTTTAAAATTCCTAGGACTCCTAAGTTGACTGAAATTGACGTACGGTATTTATACGGATCAGAGGTGAGAAAAACTATTAAAAATATTGAGGTGAATCAATATTAAAATGATGACTGGTCTAATTTTTTTCTTCTTTTACGTAAAACTTGCGTCCAGCAATGACAAAAAATATTCAGCACGTTATTGTGTTAAACATTAATTGCAGGCAACTCGCCAAAAGGACGAGGGTTCGATTCATGACTAGGTCACACGGTATTGTAAATCTTCCAGTCTTCCACGAGACTGTCATCCGACTCATTCTTTCCTTCCACTTAGATTTCTAAACGCTTCATTTACAGAAGTTCTTTTTACAGATTTTACTAAGCTCACGCGAAAAATTTCGAAGGAAAATTAGGCAAATACATGGATTAACTGCACAATATGAAGAGGCTAATATCCGCGAGATATATCGCATGACTTTCTGTATCTTACTACACTCGGGAACCGGTCTTAGTGAAAAGAGTTCAAGGAAAGCAAAAACAATATAAGGAGTCCAACATATAAAAAGTGCCGTTACAGTAACGGCGGCCATTCGGTGCAATTTTTTGATACGTTCTCGGTTTCGTCTTTTTCCCTTTTCGGTACGACTTTCAGCCAGTTTATCCTTGCGTGAGCCGCATACTACAATAGCCGATAGAACAGAGATTGTAAATAGTGGTATTAACAGTACTGTGGTGAATAAAAAAATATTGTAGCGAAGGTGCGCCGATTCGTCTTCAAAAGCTGGCTCCCAGG